GTGGTAGGTATAATTCTGCAGATGCTATTTTAAATCGACTTCTGCTAATTTGGAAAATATGAGAGAGGATATGTAAGTAATTATAACCTCAACTACCTTAGGATGCTGAAACAATCTACAATTATAAAATTCTCTCTAATCTACCTAGAGTAGTAGTTAACTTGGTAACTACTGAGTTAAGTAGGCAAGAGATAGCTGAAAAGGGAATTGCTAGAAAATGGGAGAAGCAGGGCTCTGCAACGGTTTCCAGTTTGCAAATTGCTCACAAGAATGAAAAAAGCATCAATCAGTACAATCAGATTTCCGCAGTACTGTTTACCTTCCACATCATATGCTTCTTTTTTCTTCTAAATGGGAACATACATTTGTTATTAGGTAGAAGGTAGCATTTGTTGTTAGTAGCATCCTATAGCTACGTTTTTTAAATGTACACTGTAGAGTGTAGAATAGACCTACCAACTAAAAATTCACAATTTAAGTAAGCAATATATATAACTATATATTATATATAAATAATATATAATACATATAATATACATAATATAGAGAGATAGTATGTTCATTGTTTTTTGTTTTGGTTTGGTTTGGTTTTTTTTGCGTTGCGCGGGCCTCTCACTGTTGTGGCCTCTCCCGTTGTGGAGCACAGGCTCCGGACGCGCAGGCTCAGCGGCCGTGGCTCACGGGCCCAGCCGCTCCGCGGCATGTGGGATCTTCCCAGACCGGGGCACGAACCCGCGTCCCCTGCATCAGCAGGCGGACTCTCAACCACTGCGCCACCAGGGAAGCCCCACTGTTCATTTTTTAACTTATTATTAAATAGAAGTGGATATATGTAAATAGTGAAGTAAGACCAACCTAAAAACTTCCATTGAAGTTAATGCAGCAGGACAATCCATACACCTAACTGAAAATCGAACTGGTTCAGGGCCACATAATCTCTGAGGCCTGAAATCTCAGGAGCAATAGGTGTGGGGCTATAAACTTGAAGCAGAGTGGACAAAGGAGCCCTGCCAGTAGGAGCGTTTGGCATTCTCCCTAATTTATCCTTCCAGCCTGCTGGTTGAAGCCAAACTGGCTTGTGACTGTGTTGCTCACCCCCTGCTACAGCGTGTCCTCGGTCTCTCTGTGACCAATCTGCAGTTGCCTGGTCACCTTTTGTAAACTCACTGCCATTGTTTTGATTGCATTCAGCACCCTGCATTGTATTAGAAAATGCAGTTATGTTGCTATAAACGTATTTTCATTCACCAACCCATTTCTGCACACAATAGTCTCAACCCTACAATCTGAAAACACAGTATTAAAATTCGGTAGAAAAATAATCAAGAAAATTAGTGTTAATGCCTCAAAGCTAAAATAAAATAAAATAAAATATATTTTATCTGTTTATTTTATTTATTTATTTTAATTCTTTTGGCTGCACCAGGTCTTAGTTGCAGCATGCAGAATCTAGTTCCCTGACCAGGGATTGAACCCAGGTCCCCTGCATTGGGAGCATGGAGTCTTAACCACTAGACCACCAGGAAAGTCCCTAGCTGTTTATTTTAAACCATTCTTCAAAAATTCTAATTTCATCAGTTTTTTAAAAACTATATTCACATCACCTCTATTAATTGAAAAGTTTGTTTTTAATTAAAATTATTCCCTCTCATCTGGGAGCGATATAATGGCCATGACATCTCTTTTTTCATTTTGTCATGAGATGTGTGAGTAGAATAATTAAATCAGTTTTTGGTTGGTAGGTCTCATCTTCTCACTGCTTACTCACTCAGGAGCTGCTCGTGTCTCCCTGACTTTGCACAGGCAAGTATGTCCCAACTTGACTGGCCGCTGAGTTGCCCTATTTTGTCCAGCTGGGCTTAGTTCACATGCAGTAGTTTAAAGTGTTCCACAAGTACTGAACAGTATTTGCACGCAATGGACATAGCCTTTTGCTAACAAATCAAAACGACTTCAGGTCAGGCCAGCCAAGTATACGAAATGCCACAACATGTATGATACCAAAAATGCATCTCAATAATTGAAAACTCCAATGTGAATTGTGATTACAAAATAAACTGTTTTTAAGTAAGCCATTCTGTAATTTAACCATTCATTACTTTTAAAATCCTGTTGCTTTGATGGAAAATATTCAGAAATTTACACTGCAAATTTATCTTAAACTCAAATCTCATAGACTATGACTATTGGTAGGTCATGTCAGCAAAGCAATCTGTATCTTTCCCTAAATTACACATTTTCTTATAAATCTGCTCTTGAACCATAGACAACAGAACAAACTGTCCTGATAAGCCATGCCACTCACAGTGGTCAACGTGAAGAGAACTCTGGGAATCTAAGCGGCTCTTCTGCCACAGTGCATTGTTCCAAAATTACCCATCAGCTTGAAAGTTGTTGAACTTCACTATAAAATGGTGCATAAGGTTGTGAACTTTAACCCCAAGCCTCTCCTCTCCCTTTTTATTAAATTGGAGTGTGGATGGGTACAATAAAGGAAGGTGGTGATAAGGTTAAAAAGTGATTTAAATATGACATGTAAAGCAACTTCTTCAAACCTGGCGTTCAAATATAATTTCAAACTATATTTGGCAAAGTCTTACGGTTATTTTTGATAATCTTTATTTAAGAATGGTAAAATTCTTTATTCTACATTTCTACTTGACTTTCAGTTTCTACCATAAAGAGTATATATATCAAGGCAAACCACAAATAACATAATCCTAAGTCTCCCATAGAAATCATCCCCAATCTCACTTTGTCTATAAAGACTGGCAAGTTACTTAAATAAAAATGCTGGGTACAGAGGATGCTCTTCCCAAGGCACTCCGTTAGTCATTTATCCTAGAGCATACAAGATTTTAAGACGAACAGGTTGGCCATTCTGTTAGAATTAGTATTTGTCAAATATAAGGGCATTGAGAATTACGTAAGAGCTAGGGAAATGGTAGCCCACAGACAATGGGAAAACAAGGAACTGTTTTGGAGATAGAACCACCCCCACCTCCACCCGACCGGGATCAGCCCCAGGGACCAGGCAGGGAGAACTAGCCTGAGGTGCCCCCTGCAGACCAACCCTTCCAGCTGCTCCTCTTTTTGAGTGCGGGGTAGTCTCTTCCTCATTACCAAGAGGTAACAAGGAATTGTTTTTGTTGAGTTCATGTTGGAGGTCATCAGGAGGATGTGACCACCAGCTGACCAGAGAGCTGGGCCCAGGCAATCGGAGGCTACTCACCCCCATCCCTGTGCGTGTAATGTGTGTTCCACCTACCATTCCCACACTAGGAGCTGTTTCAGGAAGCTGCCTTGTGACGGTAATGGTTGAGACCATCTGGACGGTACACATGACTGACTGAAGCCAGTTAAAGCTTCTATATAAATTCAAGATTCTGACAGGCGAGTGCAGAGATCTTGTCTTGAGGCCGCCCCAGACAAGCTGCATATGTAAGTTGCCTTGCTTATGAACTGGCCACCTACTAAGCTGGAGTGGCTGCCTCTTCTGCAGTCTCTCCTTGCCCTCCGCGTAGGGGAGCCGGTCTGCGAACCAACAGTTCAACCCAAGAATAATTATTTACTCGGCAACATAGTTCTAGGGTTTGTTATTCAGAAGACCAATTCCAGACAAGTAGCACAGGTATCTAAGAAGAAAAAAACATTAGATTGATAATGCTTAACTATTTGTAGACATCGGCTGGTGAATGCAATAGCTATCTTCTTTTACTGATCTTCATTTTGTCCTTATTAAAGGATATTTTATTTATAACACCATTACATTTTCTGTTTTTAAATATATCAGCCCAATAAGGAAGGTTTAGGACTAAGTGTGAACCCTCATTTGGTAGGTAAATGGAAAACTGAGATAATGATTGTGACCAGTATTAAGTCTGACCCAGTAAAGACTTCGAGAGTCTCTGTGTGGATTTATGAAAATTACAACAGGCAAACAACCCAAATAAAACTCCAGGGCCACAGAAAATCTTCTGGTTACAAATATTTGAACTTTATCAAGGGTTATTTTGTGTGCATGTTTTCATGCCAGGAGAAAAAACTCCAAAACACTGATAGATATAGTTGTTTTCTTCTAAACCGTATCTCCAATGAATAACCAGACTTTGCTGACTTTCAACTATTTACTGCTTTTTACATACTGTTGCTGTGATGCAACAGCATTTCGGTGCAGAGCAGCACTGCTCTTTTCAATGCAGATCAGCTCTATGTACACGTTTGTGTTGCTCCTAAAGAGATCATGCACCTTGCTTCCGGCAGATTGGGTATCCATGGATACTGCAAAGTTTCCAAAGAAACGGTGCCTAGGAGTCTCACCATGCCAGCCTTTTTAGGCCTTCTTCAAATGGAAACTGACATTTGAATTAAAGGGACAGGCATCATGCTCCCACCAAACTACTGAGCAGGTTTGCATGGATAGCCTTCCCTTCCTCACCATTCAGTGGCTGTGCAACATGTAAAGGCAAGCGGGCAGATTACTCACCCTATGCTAGGGAAATGAGGGGAAGAAGTCGGGTCTGATGTGTTCGCTCCATAAGGTCCCGTGACCCAGTAATAACTCATATATTTCTCATCTGGTGATAAATATCTTATAATCAAGGTCTGAAGAATATAAATCAGCCAGGGGAAAACAGAGGAGGAGAAATGCCATTTGAGATCACATGCCCAGATTTATATCCCCAAATGACAGAAAGGATTGACGGGGGCGGGGGCAGAACCAGTTACCAGGTTTACAAGTCTACGATCAGGGGCCTAAAGCAGATCATAGTGAATTAAAAATCTGGCTGCAGAATCTGAATAAAGCAACATTTCATCTGATGGGAGAATGCATTATGATACTTTTGTCTTTCCTGGATCCTTATCACTAAGCCAGCTGAAGAATCTTCTTAAAAGCAATCATAATTAAATTTTCTATTGTTCAACGAATCTGGCCTTCAGGGAGGTAGGTTATTAACTCAGAATAAGATGACTTAAAATCAGTAATAAATATTCCGAAGTTTAAGGTTTTAAAAATTTATTTATTCAGTTCATAAAAAGCCCCCCACCCTCCAAGTCTTCATCCATGGCATTTTCAGAACCACACCCTGTTCTGTCGCTTCTTTTACTGTCCAAATTTTATCACGTTTCTTGCTGGAGTCCAGGCAATTGAAAATAGACTCACATCTGGGGAATCAACAGACCAACAGTGGCAAAACACAATACCATGAAACAGAAAAATAAAATGTTTGTTACAGGAGTGCATCTCACGAGTGTGGTTCACTGGCGGCGGCAGCTATGTTAGCATTTCTTTCTGCCTCAAGTTCAGAAACAAGCTGGGCTATCTCAGGGTGACTGAATTTTCCTGCAATGCAAGAAGATAGGGAAAAAGATAATGACAAGTGAATACATCAGTTTCTCCAGCTGGATCCTAGGGCTTGTCAGGAGCCCGATTCTGTGATCTGACCCATACTTGACTCCAACGCAGAGTAAGATTCCAGGTCCTGGAGAGAGGCCAAAGGCAACCACTCGGAGCTTACGCTAGTCACCCCAGATGCTATCAAGCGTAAGGATGAGAATCAGGCAAAGAACTACAGCTCAGGCAGACCTGGGGAAAACCTCACCAGGCAGCCTCTGAGTACCCCTACCAGGAACTCCAGGGAAACTCAGGGAGGATGGAGTCCAGAGAACTGAGAACAATTGCTGTCCATTCTGAATCTGCAATTAGTTGTGGGGAACAATGCACCTACATATAAAAAGACTGATAGGAAGACCAGGGGGTCTGGGCTGTCCCAGGATGCAAACAAGAGTGCAAACATCTACAATGAAACCAGCTAGTCTGTGCTGTCTTCCTGGCTCCTTGGCCCCTCTGGGTTTCTGCCCTGGGCAGCAGCCAAGCTCCGAGCTATCTTAGGTGGGTGGTGGCTAGCACGCGGTGGGCGGGGGGTGGTTAAACCCACCGTCCCTTCTTCCCTGTCTTCTCTTGCCAGTGCCTTTTGTTGCTTGCTCTTCATTCCACAGTTAACTCTATTCCATTGATTCGCTATGCTCAATCTCTTCTCTGAACGTCCCCTTCACTTTCTTGCCCTAACTGACACCTACTCGTCCTGAGGATACAGCTTTCTCTGCAGCCCCTCCACCCGTGGCTGTCTTCCGTCTCATGCAGCTCCTACCACCAGGCCAGGGCTTGTCCTCCACACTCCTCGTTGCTTCCAGGCCATCCTCTGCCCCACGGTGTAAAAGTCGTGCTGTCAGACTTAACGTCATTCCACCAAAACTGCTTTTACCAAGGACACCGATCAGCTCCATGTTGCTAAATCCGACGGCTACTCCTGCCCTCTTGAAACACTTTCTTCCCTTGGCTTCTGGGACCCCAGATTTTCTTCCTCCAAACCTATTCTTCCCCCCATCTTTCCTGTCTAGTGGAAAGGCCAAAATCCTCAGACTCCTCTTATAAACACCCCATACACAAATCCTGTCAACTCTATACTCAAAATATATCCAGAATCTGACTTCTTACTTTTTCTACCATTACTACCCTGGTCCAAACCAGGGCAAGAAATAGGAAGAAACCATTTCTTACATCATTTACACTGTTTAAGTTTACTAATTTTTTACTAGAAATAGTGCACCACAGTGGAAAGTGCAGTGAATTTTAATCTCATCAGCTGTGCGCACATCACCCTCTTTCCAGGCTCAAGTTTCTTCCGCAATAAAATGTGGAGTTTAAACCAGATGACCTTCCAGCTCCCATAGTTTTTGACTGTACTAGTATTCTCATGTTTCATTTTCTGTTTTTCATTGTGAATGTACCAAAATAGAAGATAATAGTATTAAAATGCAAAGAACAACATAAACATGACATATTTTATTACCTTATTGGGGAAATATGCTATCTAGTAACCCAATCATTGGTCAAACCTTTTTTCGTGTAAAGAGTCAGACAGTAAATATTTTAGGTTTTGTGAACTATTTGGTCTTTGCTGCCAAGTACTCAGCTCTGCTGCTGTAGCATGAAAACAGTATAGACAACAGAGAAAGAAAGAGCGTGGCTGTTTCAGTAAAGCTTTATTGATAGAAACAAGCAGCAGCCAGTTTGGCCCACGGGCTATAGTTGGTTGACACCTGGTTTACAACATTATTCCACTGAACCAAAGTCAAACATTTTGAGCATCACCTATATCAAGGACAGATAAGACAAAGCTGGTTGGTCTCAGCCCTCAAACAGCTTATGATAGGGTGGGGTGCGCAAGTGGGGTTTTGGAAAGAAACCCAATGAGGAACATCATTACAGAGAATGCAAGTCAGACTGTGACAACACTAAGGCAAGCTGCAGGCCAAGGGCAGATTGAGCAAAAAGAAGGGAATGCTCAGCTGTGACAGGGAAGATTAGGAGAGGAAACCAGACAGCTGAGTGGCCTTAGCCTGCAGAGCTGTTCAGATGACTTAAAAATTGTCAAGATTTTATTTTTAAGGAAGAGGAAAGCCACAAACGTTTAAAAAACAAAGAGGTGATGATACCTATATCTACAGAGGAGGAAAGCACTGAGACATGCAGGATGAACTCATGAGCCTAGCAGATTAAATTAGGTGGTTATAACAACAGTTCAATACGGAAATAATGAGGGCCTTGTCTAGGGCAGAGGTAGTGGGGCTGGAAAAGAGAGAAGGAAAATCACATCAACTTCATTACAATGCAAATCATAGTTTGGAGCATATTTTGGAGCTGGGACTTTCCTCTACTTGATGAGGTCACAAAAGGGTCCAGAGAGGTCCCCCCAAAATCATCGCTAACAGTATTCTCAGGGGAGATGGAGGCTGAGCTGAGCCTGAAGAACTCCCAGGGAAGAGAGATGGAGTTCTACTCCAGGGAGCAACATGAACACCAGCGGTCGGTGCACCTGGTGCCTCACTCTAGAAGCTGAATCAAAATGAAGATAGCAGGCTTCCCTGGTGGCGCAGTGGTTGGGAGTC